ATACGCATACATTGGGCTCAGACAGAGCTTAGAGGGGAACTAAGGATCACCTCATAGCCTGCATACGGGGCTATGGTTGATGTCCTTGAAGCCACATGCATTCATTGCATTCAGTTTGTCAACTGCATAAGCCATCTGTCTCGTTCACATTTACTATCCCTTTCCAAGTGCATGTAGATGTCCCGGTGGTCAGCAGTACTTTTAAATCAAATTTTGTATTACATTTATTACAATTTTTATTATAATGTGTTTCATTTTCAATGAGTTTATGTTCCTACCATGGATATCTGTAGATTTTTTTCTTGTTGTTTGAGAATTCCATTCATGCATACAAGATGATTGTTAAATATAATTTTAAATTTATCAAAAATAGATTTTTTCATGTGATATATTCCAGTCACAATTTCTCTTCTCCCAACTCTTTCAAGATCCTTTCCATCTGCCCACCCAAATCCATATCCATTTTTTTCTCCCTCATTAGAAAACAAATAGGCAAAAACAATAAAAACAGAGTAGGACAAACAATAGAAAGAAAAAATGACCAAAGAAAAAACATGAGAAAGACATTCAGATACAGAGTCACACATATGCATACATAGACACACACATAAAAACACAAAATTGGAAACCATTATATATAAGCAAAAGATCTGTAAGGTCAAAAAATGTGCAGATAAGGCATTATGAGAAAAAACCCTCCAAATAACATTGAATTCGTTTTATGTTGGTCGTCTGAGCATGGGGCCTACCTTTAAGTGCGGTTTGTAATACCCAGTGTGACTACATTGGAGAAAATTAATTTTTCTTTTGTAAGTGGTTGTCAGATGGAGATAGTTTCTGGGTTTAGGCTGGGTGCTTGTGTCCACTGCAGCATCTCAGCAGTGGCACTCCATCTGGCTTAGACCTGTATAGGCCTTGTGTATGTTGTCGTGGGCTCAGAGTTCACATGTGTAGCAACCCTGCTGTGTCTAGAACCCTTGTTTCCCTGGTGTCCTCTGTCCCCACTGACTCTTACAGTCCCTTCGCTTCCTCTACTACAGATTCCTGAGCTCTAAGGGATTTGATGGACTGACTGTTCCCGGGTCCCTCATTCTCTGCAGTGTCCAGCTGTGGGTCCTTCTATTTATTTCTATCCACCACTGGAGGAAGCTTCTCTGATAACAGCTGAGCAGCACACTGATCTATGAGGATAAAAGAATGTAATTAGGAGTTACATTATTGCCATGTTTCTTTAGCAGAACAGTAGTAGTTGATTTTTCTATAGGTTCATAGCCAATCTGTTCTCAGATTCTTGGCAACCAGACTCAGTGTCTGCCATGGGTTCTGTCTCATGGAAGGAGCCTTAAATCGAATCAAACAGTGGTTGGTTACTCCAACAACGTTTGTGCCACAGTTGCACTAGTATTTCATGCAGATTGGTCACCATTGAAGACTGAAGGATTGGTAGCTGAGTTGGCAGCCACCTTTATCTTCTGGTAGCATGCAGAGTACCTTCCAGTACCATGAACATTGGTCATTAGGAGTATAGGCTCTTGGTAGCCACCAGCCTGACTTCTCCTTGTTCATTGAGTTATATGCAATTCGGTCTGATCAAAGTCACTCCCACTCCCTCTGCTTCGATTCCTTTCTCTCCTCCTCCTACCATTATCTGCTCCCAACATGATGTCTTTGTTTCTTTTGTTTGTTTTTCCTTCTACTGAATATACTCAGTGCTGACAGTATGTTTATGGGCTGAGAACCATCTACTGAAGCACAGGTAGCCTTTCAGGAGCCACATCCTTGAAGAAAACTAACTCCCCCTACCTATGGTCATCAATCTCCAGTAGCTCCACAGCTGGGGTGAGACTTTGTCCTCACCTCCCTCCTCCATGTTGGAATTTCTGTCTGGTTTGATCTTGTGCTGGTTTTGTGCTCTTTCAACTATCATGGGTTCATATGCCCTGCTGAGTCCTAACAACAGGTTTGCTGTAGCTACTTATTGCCTCTGGTGCTCTAATCTTTCTGCTGCCCTTTCTTTGATGATGCCTGTGCCTTAGGAGGAGGTATGGTGTAGATGTCGCATTTAGGGCTGAGAACTCCGCAGTGTCTTATTCTCTGCATGTTGGTCGATTGTCAGTCTGTGTGAATTGCCATTACTGATCAAAGAAGATTGTCTGTTGAGGGTTGAGAGATGCACTGGTTCATTGGGTTAAGGATAAGTCATTGTGATTCAATTTAATACTGTGCCTGTTTGGTGGAATAAAGGTAATAGGTTCTCCCCAAAGCCTATGGCCTGTCTAGTCACAGGTTCTTAGCCCTGATAGCAGTGCTAGGCACAAGTTCCATTTAAAAAATAGTCTAGTTATTTGTAGCCTGTAAGCCCCTGGCTATAGCAATTCTGTCCAAAAGAATATTCTATAACAATGAGAATATTCTCTAAAGTTCCCAATGCAGTAATCTTTGGCCACATGCAGCACTTGAGGACTTGAAACATGGATGCTGACCTAAAACTGAATATTAATGCTGTTTAATTTTAATTTAAGTAACGACATAACCACCCACCAGCTAGGACAATTGACAGGACAGTTAGTAATTTTCTGAACCCTCTACCCAAGTCTTCTCTGCCCTATATCCTGGTTTGCTTTTGTCCCACAGCAGGGAAAATGTGTGAAGAGAGCTGTTTTCAGAGCCTTTCCTCGTCATAGAAATAAAAGGAAAATGGTCTTCGCTTTTCCCTCACCTCCGTCTGCTTCTCTGCAGTTTGAGAGAGGCTTCCCTCTACCTGGGTGATTAAATCAGTTCATTCACATTTGGTTTTTTCCAGGATTAACATATCACTTTCCTCGGTTTTGAAGTTGACTAATTGGCAGGACATTTATAAATAATTACTAAAAACTCAGATGAAAATCTTATTTTGATGCTCTCATTAGATAAGATTTGATCCCCGTTAATTTTGCTAAGATGCTGATGGTGACAAAATGGTCTTCCTATGCATTCTCACTCTGAAATAAGTCCATAACACTGTATGAGTTCTAGATTTTTTTGATGACCCATAGCCTTCGGGCTTTTTAAGATTATTACTGGCATTATTTAAATCACAGTGGACTCTATTAAGGTAACAGAGTTATGAGAGGGTAACAATCTATCTCTGAGTGCAAAATATGCCTTTTGTATTTATATTATAGTTAATTTAATTTTGTTTGGTTGGTTTTTGAGACAGGGTTTCCCTGTGTGACAGCTCTGACTGTCCAGGAATTCACTTTGTAGACCAGGTTGGCCTCAAACTCAGAGATGTCTGCCTCTCTGCCTCCCAAGAGCTGGGATTAAAGGTGTGTGCCACCACCACCCAGCTTTGTGTTTTTCTTATAACTATACTGCTAGTTGGATTGATGGCATTATTTTTCCCCAGACAAGTTTTGTCTTACACTCTTTTACAACAAAATATAGGAAGAAATCTGTCGCTTCTGGGATCACAAAAAAGCCAATGACCAAAAGTTCTTTTCTGTTCAGAACATCTCAATAGCAAACGGCTTCTCTGCCCCAGCCCCTCTGAGAGTGGCGCCTACTCTTTTGCTATTCTCTGGGTGTCTCTTTCTCACCTCCATTCTCTTCTTGCTTTAAGGCCAGAGGCTTGGAGAGCATATGTAAAATCACACCCAAATTTTGGAACACCTTTCTTTCTGAGCCCAACCTCCCACATACGTCCTCCTGGCTCCTGCTGGGCCATGTGCCTGGACAACAGGAGCAGCAGAAAGGCAGGCATTGGCGCCCAAATTGTCAGATCCCTGCTAGAGGACAGGGAAACAGCAGCATAGCTGCTCTGGCCCCTGTTGTGTGAGACTCTTCTATACGCTGTTCTTTCACAAATTTCCTCCGACAGAAAGAAACTGGACAGTTCTTTCGACGTTAAAAACCATATACTTGTCATAGGATTTTGTTGTCTTCATGTCATGTTAGTAAACATATCATTGTGAGGTCCACCGTTTGTGGTCCGTGATAGTAGTGGTAGTGTGGAGCGGTGGTGCGGTGTGTGCACATGATATGTTTGCCCATGATAGTAGTGGTAGTGTGGAGTGGTGGGGGCATGTGTGCACATGATATGTTTGCTCATGATAGTAGTGGTAGTGTGGAGCGGATGTGTGCACATGATATGTT